TGCGATGATGGGCTCAAGTATAGCAGGGATTGTGGGGCTGGCGCGGGATCGGGCAGTGTTTCATTCTGCTGTGCATGGGGTCGCTATGAGTCGGAAACTACTTGACGGCACTTAACAACAACAACATGTAAGGAACTAAGGTTCTAAGAATTTAAGTATTTTTTTAAGGTCATATACCCAACAACAACATAGCCAATATGTAAACAGAACCAAGATTCTGAAACACGGACCTCTCATCAAATGGTATCTTGCTGATTCTATTTTTAATAAAGAGCTAGATCCCAGTTCTTACATCTTTAAATCTTTTGGCTTCAACAGTTAAAGCAATACGGAATTCATCTTCTAAATCCATATACTGCTGGATCAACATATCGATTTTCTCTTGGTATTCTTTTATATCTTGCTCATGCTTGTTCTCCCGCTTGGCTATTTCCTTAGCTAAGGCATTCTGGAAGTCAGCTTCACTGAAAATCTCCCTTGTCTCAAGTTCCTTCCTAGAATAAGAACCAAATAAAATAATAGGATGCCATTATCTGAAAAGAAAAATTTTAAAGATCTTTAAATAGTTTAAATATTCAATATTAATTATGAATTTAAGATCAACTCCCACTTTTAAGCACATAAATCGGGCACAGGATGGAAGGTAGAACTAGAAAGTAGTATTTGATTGTGTATTCAATGTTGATGGGCATAAGTGGAATATGTCAAATCTTAGCTTCAACTAAGACAGTTCAGAATCACTCTTCAGCTTCTGAAATTCTTTAGGTGTTTGCAGAAGTCAAGCTCTGTTTCACATCATCTTCTAATTTGGCTGCATCTTTGACATACGATAAGTACTGTCTGATTTGGACTGTTGCTGTTATGTGCAGGCAAGTTGGACCCGACTCACAGCAACCCCTCCTAGGGTTTCCGAGGAGATATCACTATGGAAGGTTGCCCAGCCTTCCTTCTGAGGAGTTGCTGGTGGGTTTGAACCGCCAGCCTTCTAGTTAGCAGTCAAGTGCCTTAGACACTATGCTACCAGACTGGTGGTCTGTTAATAGAAAGGTGGTTAAAGTGAAATAATTTATGAATCACTTGATAAAGGGCCAATGTTTTCTATGAAATGTGAGCCCATTTTTAGGAGTTCTCTACTCCATTTGTATAAATCAAACACATAATATACAAATTTTACTATTTCTAATTTAGGTTTTTTTAAAATGGAACTTAAGTGTAAAATCCTAGATTTTTGTGATGATTTCCCTCCAATATTTATACTTGTCTCACCCACAAGTACTTATTGACAACAAATTTTGCCAAAGAATTAAAATTTAATTTATAACCTAAAAATTTAACTTATGTAAGTACAAAAACAAGAGGTTTGGGAACAATTAACCCATGACAATCATAGAATTCAACTGGTATGGCAAAAAGCAAGTAAGTGCAAAAAGTGTTCAAATGACCATGGACTCTGAAGAACAACGGTCAGTAAACTACAGCCTGTGGCCAGGTCTGGCTTATTGCCTTTTTTGCAACTGAAGTTTTACTGTAACAGTCACTCCCATTTGTTTAAATATTATCTGTGATTATTTTTGTGCTACAGTGGCAAAGAGTTAGGAATGGCCCACAAAGCCTAAAATATTTACTATCTGGCCCTTTAAAGACAAAGTGTGTGCTTCAGAGGGATAAAAATTACTGATTAATTTTCACAAGTGGTTATGTGAAAATCAGTTCAAACATTTTCTACAAATAAGGATCAACTTTTGGTTGGGTTTGGAGATAAGCAAAATAAATTTCAATGTTATAACCCCATACCTAAAGACTCTGAAAACAAACCAAACCACACTGACAATACAGTCACCTATTTGTTTTCAGGCTACCAGTTCTTGGTATAGGACTTATCCTAATATATATATGAACATGGCATTTTCCACGAGCTAACTGTGTCAGATTTCACTATACCACTGTGTAGTTACAATCTATTTTTAGGTTTCAGAGAAAAAAACTAGCAGCCTTCTTTTTGTATTTTTAAATATCAATATTTTTCTGATATATTTTTCATTTACCTGTGTTCTTGTTCTTTCAGTGCAAAAAGTTCATGAAGCTGTTGTAACTTTTCCTTTTCTTGATGAAGGGAAGTTCTAAGTAAGTTAATTTCTCTATCAGCAGCTGAAGCCTTGAGCTCTACCTCTTGAAAAAGTCTTACCTGAGTAAAATATAAAAATACACACAATTACAGTATTTAGATAATAATCTTTCCTGCTTCTATTTTAAGGCCAGCTCCCAAAATAAAGACGTTGTCTGTAAATGACAGGAATTAGTGACTAACTTGATTTTCAAAGTCTATCAAATTAATGATGTCTAGTCACATAAACTATAACCTTATAGCCATTAAATACACTATCATTAACTATTGCTTACTTTTATCAGTTATTTAGTGAAAATTTCTATTCAGAAAGCATGAAGTTAAATTCTTTCAATCACTCCAAGGAGACTTAAAAACTAGCTTTCTCAGAATACAAGCCTAACAACCTGCACTTTCTAACAACTTTTCTTCAAATTGCTTTGCAAGCACTACCAAGTTTAATTTAGAAGTCATTCAACAAGTTAAACTGTTGTATTTAAGTTTTACATAGAGACTAACATTTTTTACTATAATGGTATATGATAGTATGTTTCAAGGTACAAGGTATGAATTTGCACTAATCCAGGTAACCGATACGTTAAAATAGAGAAATACCTGTGCCGCCTGCTGATGAAATTTTTGCCTCTCCAATTTTTCTAATGCTGTTTCCAGAGTTCTTAAATCTCTAAGGTGACCCTCCTGTTGATCTCTTGCTTTAAGTAATTCAATAGTTAGTTTTTTAATTTCATTCTGAAGTGTGTGAACCATAACTTCGAGTTGTACTTTGGAATTTCTCTCTTTAAAAATAATTTCTTTTAGCCTATAGTAGAAATAAAATATAGCTCTCAGTATATTACCCATACAAAAATGATAAAAATATAATTTATGTTAATGCTTACAGCAGAGACAAGTATTTGAAATATGTTTCAAACTGAGTAAAAAATAGTTGAAAAACAATGTAAAGTAACTCGTACTTATCCCTGAGACTAACTTGGTGTCAAAAGGGAAAAACAGTCTACGTAAATTAATGAAACTTTATATAATGGGAATTTTATTATTCAGCAGTAAAACTTTACACTCAATTTGTTTCACGCACTGTGTAAAGTGTGGGCTTAGAAACAAGTAAGATGAATAAGATATAATCCCTGCCTTTGAGAAGCTCAACATCTAACAGCAGGCAGAGCCACAGGTTTTATACTTATAAATATAAACCCATGTACACCCAATTTGTTTCAGGCACTGTGCAAAGTGTGGGCTTAGAAACAAGTAAGATGAATAAGATATAATCCCTGCCTTTAAGAAGCTCAACATCTAACAGCAGGCAGAGCCACAGGTTTTATACTTATAAATATAAACCCCTGTGACACAAGCACTCTATGAACAGCTACCTTGAAGTCAACTTTGACAAATACAGATCCCAGCTTTGAATTCGTTAGGGCTCTTTGATTATAACGAAAAATCTTAACTAGCTTAAGTAAAAAGGAAGAATTTACTAGTTCACAGAATGAAACTTAAGAGGATGGTACAATGCAATGGGTTTCTTAATATATGGCCTTTCCAGCTCTGGGCTGCAGCCTGCCCTGCAATTAGTCTATTTTACTTACCTAGCAGGAACTGGTTGGTTTACTGACAGGAAAGGTGAGGGGTAGAACTAAGCAACCTATGGTCCACTGAGGTGACTGGTTGATTAGTGGTCCTGCTGGAAGGGCCATGCCCTGAAATGGACAAGGAGCTTGCTTATATAGCCAGCCAACTCCACAGAGGTTTAGAGAGGGAAAGAGAAAACCTCAAGATCAGGAGAAGAGTCTGCAGTGAAGCAGTTTGGATCTGAGGTTCTTGCATAAGGAACCTCCTAAAAGAGCTGTATTATGGGCCAGTGCTAACACTAAAGATGGCAAGAGGCCCAGAAGGGGCCCAGCAGCTGAAAGGGACTGAATGGTAGACAACTGTCTGAAGTTCTGGATTAAGAATTACAATGGCTTAGAGTATTTTTGCTCCAAGGAGAAAGCTGTCGTGACTGACAAACTTCATCCAATCTCCTGAGTTACATGCTGTCACTTCCAAGATGCATTCTGAGCTGTCTCCTGAGTTGTTCCCAATAAACGACTTATACTGTTTAAGTTCAGTTCCTGAGTTGAGATGTCACAGCAAATTACCAAACTCAACAGGGAAAAGAAGAGTTCTGAGGGGAGGGAGTATGTCAGAGATCATGGACTACCACATCTTAGAGAAGATGGAAATGTGAGATGTAGTTAACCTCTGCTTTACAGGAACCAGTTTGTGTTGATTCTTATTCATGAAATTGTTTGTTTTGATGGGATGGCACAATTCTGAGGGACCATGCACATGAACACAATCTCAATCTCTGGTTCTCTGTATGATGGTTTCTTTGTGGGGAGATGCTGAGGATGAAGGCACAAACACCACTGGGTTCATATTCTAAATAGTTCAGAGAACTAAACAGGAAAGACTACCTTTCTCTAGCTGAGCACAGAAGAGTTCTAGGCAAGGCTCTGATTAGTACAATTTAGTTCACATACCCACTACATGAACTGATCACTGGGGGCTAAGACATTATGATTTACCAAGCTTAGGTTACTCTACCTTAGGTGCCTTAGGTTACCTTAGGTTACCTTACCTTAGGTGCTCACCCCCTGACCAAATTATTATAGGCTGTGATAGTCGGAGTTGTGTCAACCTGGCTGGACCACAATTCTGAGTGGTTTAAGCAGTTGTGACGTGGGTTATTTCCATGATGAGATCAGATGTATATGTTTTAAGCAGTCAGCCTGTTGACAGGGAGTTTCCCTAGGGGTGTGACCTGCTTCCAATATATTTATGGACATACTCGGAAAAAGAGACACTTTTCTGTGGATTGGGATCCTGTTGTGTTGCCTACACTGTCCATGAGCGAACAATCGATCACTCGGCCTGGAGATCTTGGATTCATCATTCATTGGAATCAACAGCCGGTATACTGCCTGCCAACCTTGAGCTTGACAGCCACTACAGCTGTGTGAGTTTGGAAAAGCCTCCAGGTTGACGTTTGATCCAAGAATTTGGGACTTGCCAGCTTCTGTAAGTGTGTGAGCCATTTTCCTAAGATAAATTTCTCTTTTTCTCTCTCTATATAGAGTTACTGGTTTTGCTTCTCTAGAGGTCCCAGCCTAACACATAGGCAGACAGGTAGTTTACAGTGGAATACAAGTATAGTGTTTGGAAAGGGGCACTGAAGAGCAAAGACACAGTCACCCAAAGGAATTAATGAGCTAAGCAGCTACTCTAACACATATCTACTGTAATTTCTAAGTATTTACAAAAAAAGATAGATATATCCTCTCTCTTCTTCCACTATCTGTCTGTAACTCAGAGTCACAAGGTCTCTACTAAAATCTGTCCTTATACAATGCTGGCTACCTATGTACCTACTGCAAGCAAGAGAGCTATTTTTATGAGGTGGGCAGAATACTAATAATTTATCCATCTCATCTCCTTCTCCCACCCAGCATCTTCTTGTATCAACTAAGAAATAGCCAATTTCCAAACCACAAATAAGGCAGAAAGATGGTAGGTGGTGGCAAAAGAACTAGTGATAGTATAATATACGATAGTTTGCATAATTGGAAGGTTCTCAATTAATATATGTTGAGTATTATAGTTTTTCTTATCTCCATGGGTACAAAGTATGAGAGAGCCAGGTAGAGGGGTAGACGATACCACCTCTGCATCAAAAAGCATGGGTTAAATGCCTAAAAGGAACTGGAAATGGGGCTGGCAGCTATGTATATCAACTTACTACTCAATTAAGATCTTAGAAGGGAAATCAGCCACTGAACAGTTGGACAGAAAATGGAACAAATGGCAACTTCCCAAAGCCTATTTGTTGGTAATCACCAAGGCTGAAAACCTAGTGTTCATTCAAGGATAAGAAGGGAAAAATCTTACCACCTCTTGAGGAAAAGCATAATTCAGAAATACTTACAGGAAACAGAAGAAAATAATTAATTTCAGAAAACGATTTGATATTCTCATAGAATGAAATAAGACAGATCTGTATTAAAGAATTCAATTAAAAAAAAAAAAGAGATGAAATGGTTAAGTTGGAAAGAAATAAAAACACTAGAATAAATACACGTAGGCTATCTGGAACTAAAGCTCACTGTGAAAGAAGACTATGTGAGAGACTGAATGTGGCCTGTAAAGACTAAAAATATTTACCACCTGAGCCTTTACAGAAAGTTGACCAATGCTGTTCTCATCTCTTCTGGTTCTTAGAATACTTATTTGCTCATATATCTGACACCTCCCAGCTTAAGATAAGTAGTTTGAGAGGTCAAATAAATGTACCCTGAATTGCTAATTGATATGAAAAGCTAATAAAACAGTTAAATCTCTTAATAAAGTTTGTTTAAATCAAACTGAAACCACACATATTGTAATTGATCATATCACAGCCTGTTTAAACAAAGGCAAATTTAAATTTCCAGTTCCAAGTTCAGAAATCTTTGTGATGAGGCATACTTTTCCCTTACCTATCTGTGGTAAGTAGGGCCAAGCTATGGACATCTTTCTTTTCTTTTGCATTCTTATGAAGTTCACCAATATAATCAATAAGTTTCTTTTCAGTTTGTTGAGCTTTCCATCTCTTCTCTCTCTCTTGATCTAGTTGTTCAACAAGGGACTGTAAGAAAATAACAGTGTTATGCGAACTTGGAAAAGTTATCTAACTTTTCAATTCTTCAATTTTATCATTTCTAATATGTAGAAATAATAATACCTATATCAAAAGGCATACATCAGGAGCTCTGGTAGCATAGTGGCTAAGACGCTTGCTAACCAGAAGGCTGACGGTTCAAACCCACCAGCCACTCCTCAGAAGGAAGATGGGGCAATCTACTTCCATAGTGACACTGCCTTGGAAACCCAAGGAGGGGTCGCTATGAGTCGGGTCCGTAACAACAACAACAACAACAACCTATCAAAAGGCTGTGGTGAGAACTGAACACATTAAGGTAAGAAAAGCATACATGAACAGTGTCTGTAACTAATAACCACTCAAATGTTACTTGCTATTATTATTGTTGTCATGACAATTATTTCTCTCAATATTAAAGCTTCCATATTTGGGGCCGATGGAAGGAGGCCCATAAGCAAGAAACTGTGACTATTAAAAAATTAAAAAAGCAATTCTATTTTATAAAACCAGTAAGTATTATAAACAAAGTATAGGAGCTCTGGTAGCGTAATGCCTAAGGCACTTGACCGCTAACCAGAAGGCTAGTGGTTCAAACCCACCAGCCACTCCTCGGAAGGAAGATGGGGCAATCTACTTCTGTAGCGATACTGCCTTGGGAACCCAAAGAGGGGTTGCTATGAGTTGGGTCCGACTCAATGCCACATAACAACAACAACAAGAACAACAATCAAAGTATAACCAGTACTTGAACAAGTAAAATATATGCAAGTTAATGAAAAATATAACAAACTTGTAATAAAAATTACTACAATATAAGAATTGGTAAGGGAAACATGAAGAATTTTAAAGTTCTTCGATACCTCTTAATCTGGAGTCCATGAGTTCAAAACTGGGAATTAAGGAAGCCCATGAAAACCTTGAAATTACATACAAATTTTGTACGTGTGTAAAAGTAGATTTCTCTGAGGAGAGGACCCACAGAGTTCCTTAGATGTTTAAAGAAGTCCAAGTAGTGGTTAAAGGATTTGGCAGCTAACCAAAAAAGGCTGGGCTTCTGAACCACCAGCTCCTCCACGGACAAAAGATGAGGCAGTCTGCTTCTGTATAGATTTACAGCCTTGGAAAGCCTGTGGGCAGTTATACTCTGCTTAATAGGGTCATTGAGTCAAAATCAATTCAATGACAATGGGTTTGGCTTGGGTTGGAGACCCCCAAAATTAGGAACCAATGATTTAATATATAAGAATTAAAAAATTAGAACATACACTTTTAAAGGCAAAAAGGACCCAAGATATTATCTAGCACCATCTACCCAACCCCAAATGAAAAAAAGACCAAAAAAGTTAAGTGATCAAAGGTAACTAAACTTCCCATTATAATAAACCTCTGATTTGCACAAATCTTCACATTTTTAAATTACACCCCCCTAAAAAAGGAATTAGTGAAAACAGAGCTAATCTCAGAGAAAAATTTGAGTTTTATTTAAATGAAAAAATGAAGTTTTTCTTACCATAAACATGTAACAAATTATTTCACCTAAACCTGATCTTGAATAAATTAGTAATTTTTATTCCTTAAAATTTTTTTTTTTAAAAAAACAGTAATATAGCACAAAATCTAGACATAGAAGGGAAAAACAACCCATTCATTCTCATTAATCCAATAAAATGACAACTAGTAATTTTTTGTTCCTATAACTATTTCTCCGGGACTAACACTACATTAACAACTAAGATTATTCACGTTCATTTTTTTCTTAACTGCCTAAATCATACCCGGTAAGTGATGTCTTCTGAACTACTTTTGTCTACTTTCATTATTTCAGTTCCCGGTTCTTCCAATTCTGCCAATGTATTAGAGTTTGCTAAAGATGATCTTACAAATAATTCTTTAAAGTAAGGTTGTTTCATTTTCCGATTACAACTGCAAAGAATGAAAGAGGGAAGAAGAGGGCAGTACTTATATTATTTTCTGTAACACTGAAATTTGTAGTCACATATGTTAACACCTTTAAAAAAAGGAATAATTAAAATAAAAACCAATAGTAACTTGGAAAAACTGCTTTATGAATCTTCTAATGGGTGCTCTGTTAATGTTTGATGAATGAGAACTTAAACATTTTTAAAAAGATTAACTATTCTAAAAATGTTGACTTTTCATCATATTATGGGTAAAATCCTAGATACAGTCATAATACATTTAGAAAGTACGGTCAATACTTGGGGCTATGGTAAGAAGACATTTAAGATCTTAAGAGAATCAGTAAATATAAAATTACTCTTTGACAGTTAATAACTTAAAACTGTGCACATAATGAATCATAGTCGATAACGTAGCCAGAGGCCAAAGGATTCCAGGGTAGTATGCCCTGACCATGAAGATGGCTAAGGACTGGGCAGTGTTTTTGCTCTGTTGTACAAAGGGTTGCTATGAGTCAGAGCTGCCTGGATGGGACCTAAAAAGAACGATGCCCTTATCGTGAATGAGTTGAATGAATATATAAAAGAGTAAATGGATAGCTATGGAAGAACTAAAACAATAAAAGGGTATTTAAAAAAAAAAAAGGATTACAAAGGCAAAAAGTTGACTTTATCAGTCCCAGGGTATAGTATATTCCGAACAACTGTCACGGTAATCTCTATTATGAAAACATAAGCATCAGGCTATCTTATCCTGATGCATTGAAGATGATCATCTTATTCACCTTTGAGCCTAAGCTCAGTTAAGTATCTCTAGTTAGGATTTACATTCTCATCTAGATCTGCACACACAGAAAAGGCTAGTCATGTAGACTAAACAACAGTTGTTGTTGTTATGTGCCGTCAAGTCAGACTCAACTCATAGCGACCCCTCCTTGGGTTTCCGAGGTGGTATCACTACAGTAGATGGCCCAACCTTCCTTCCAGGGAGTGGCTGGTGGGTTTGAACCACCAGCCTTCTGGTTAGCAATCAAGTGCCTTAGACACTATGCTACCAGAGCTCCCTAGCATAGTATTATTTTCCCCTGTAAATGAATGCAGTGGAATTTTGGTTCTACACATTATTTTAATGACTTAGGTAATAAAAATGTATCAGAGGGAAATGGAAGCTCTCCTTTCATTTTACATGGTCGTACTGACCGAATCAGAGCCAGAAAGACTGAAAAGTCACATCTTTGATCTCAGTGAAGTAATATCATGAGTTAACTTTTACGAAGAAGCAGTATTATTAATTTCTGACTTATGCCTTATTTGGATTTTTGAAATTGTAACAGATACCTTATAAAAGGGCTGCTTTTACTGTGGTGTTTAATAGCTTGAGTAGTTTTGGAATATGGGATTTTTGGTCTCCGACAAATTTTTCTATTGATTTCTTTTCTGTTTCCAGAGTCACTTTCAGAAGTCACATCTGTGTCTCTTTTTGGTCTGAAGTCTTTCTCAGGAACATTATCTATTAAAGACTTAGATGTCTAGAATGAAAAACAGAAAGACCCAAGTTTGTCAAAAGCTCAAGTCAGTATAAAGTTTGAAATTATAAAATATTATGACTTTTTACAAGATTAAGGGTTTATAAAACTAGGTATGTTTGAAATTAAAGACAAGAGAATTCTGCTTCTGGTGTGGACAACTTATAAGCTCTTACCAGGCTATCCCATAGAAAACATCTATACATGCTGGAAAAAAATACAAACCAAACAAAAACTATCTGAAGGCCCAAGAAGTAAACAAAAGCAGGCTTATTGTAGAGGGGAGATGACACTTGGAAAGATGAACCAGAAGCTGGTATTACTGTTTTTGCTTTTTAGCCTTAGAGAATATGGCAATCAGTATCATGTGTTGTTATGTGCCGTCGAGTCGAGTCATAGTGACCCCTCCTTGGGTTTCCGAGGCAGTATCACTACAGAAGCAGATTGCCCCGTCTTCCTTCCGTATCATGTAGGGAGTCTAAAACATAGATCGAAAAAACCCACAGATTTTGTGTGAAGAACTAGGACAGTAAGAGAGTAGACAGCAAGTAGCCCACTAAAGGATAAGGGAAATGAACTGAGATTTAAAGTGTGTCTAGAAGACAAATTTATAGTTTGAGTCAAACCAAGTTAAATGCCTGTAAACAAAAACATCAACTCTGAACAATGTAAGAGAATCCAAACTCTCTACAATATAATATTTAAAATGTCCAGGGTATTCATCATATGAAGAACCAGGAAAATACGGCCCATTCTTAAGAGAAAAGGCAATCAATGAAAACCAAACCTGATGCGACCCAAATGGTGAAACAGGCAAACAAGGACTTTAATACAGTCATACTATGCTCACAACTGGACTAACAGTTAATATCATGATAAATACAGGAAAGACTGAAGTTGTCAAGGATTTAATTTTACTTGGATCCACAATCAACACCCAAGGAAGCAGCAGTCAAGAAATTAGACAACACATTACATTGGGCAAATCTGCTGCAAAAGACCTCTTAAGTGTTAAAGAACAAAGATGTCACTTTGAAGACTTCTGTGTACCTGACCCAAGCCACGGTATTTTCCATAGCTTCATATGCATGTGAGAGCTGGACAGTGAATAAAGAAGACCATAAAGAATTGATGCACTTGAGTTGTGGGTGTTGGCGAAAGACAATGAATGTACTATGGACAGCTAGAAGAACAAACAAATCTGTCTTGGAGGAAGTGCTGACAGGATACACTTTAGAAGTGAGAATGGCCAGACTGTCTCTTGTATTTTGGTCATGTTGTCAGAAGGAAACAATCCCTGTGGAAGAGTATTATGCTTAGTAAAGTAGAGGGTCAGCCAAAAAGCGGAAGACCCTCAATGAGAGGGACTGACACAGCAGCTGCAATGATGGCAATGATTGTGAGCATCGCCTAGGACTGGGCAGGGTTTTGTTCTGTTGTACAGAGGGTCACTGAGTCAGACCATACTCGATGCCATTTGTTCTGGTTACTTAGTGCTGCTCTGACAAGAATATACCACAACATGAGTTTATTCCTACAATTTGGAGGCCTTAATTCCAAGTTCAAAGTGCCAAGCTCTAGGGGCTGGGTGAAAGCTCCTCAGCCTTGGGCTTCAGCTCTGCTTCCAGCTCCCAGCCCACTGAAGCCAGAGGCTTTTCTTCACTCACACAGCTGATGGCTGATGAGGCTGCCAAGCCCAAGGCTGACAAGTAAAAAGGCACAGTCCTGATCTTACCAAAATACACGACAGGCCATTGATTCTAGTCCATTTTAAGTCCCAAGGTTGGCAGAGCATGGCAGGCTGCTGAACAATGACACGGCTACATGCAGGGTCCAATTGTGCCATAAGCTGGAGACCATTCCCAAAGCTGCTTCTTATATACGGGAAGCAGACCACATACCAAAAGGCAGCTACTCAGCTGCTTGTGGTAGATCCCACCATGGAGCTAACTGCCAGTCTCATCACGGGGGATAACTACCACCAGCTGCCAAGCCACTCAACCAGGCCCAGCCAAGGTGACATACAAATTTAACCATCACAACATCTAACAACATGCTCAATGGTGGCACAGTGTTGAAGTGCTTAGCTGCTAACCAAAAGGTTGGTGGTTTGAACCCACCAGCTGGTCTGTGGGAGAAAGATGCAGTAGTCTGCTTCCTGAAGATTTATGGGACAGTTCTACTCTGTCCTATAGGAATTGGCCCAACAGCAATGAGTTTAGTTTGGGTTTGGGTTATGCGCAATGAGAGAAAAAAAAATGTTTCTCATATATGAAAAGATAAAAGAAAACTCAGTAAGCTAAGAAATAAAACCTGTATCTGGATCTGCAAGTTACAATGTCTAAAGTGAAAACTGACTGCCTTGGCTTAACAGCAGAATGAGGTGATAAAGGAAAGAGTAAGTTAACTTGAAGACAGTTTAATGGAAATTATTCAACATGAAGAATACAGGAAAAAAAAATTATAAACATGAACAGAATCTCAGGGAATTGTGGGACAATAGCAAAAGGTCTAACGTATCACTAACTGGCATGTAAAAAAGAGGAGAGAAAGAGAAAAAAGCAGAAGAAATAACTGAAGGAAATACGGTCCAGAATTTCCCAAATTATACAAAGACATAAATTTACAGGTTCAAGAAGCTCAGTGAAATCCTAAGCAGGAAAAATAATGAAAACTTTACTTAGAACAAAGTACTCAAACTGCTCAAAATCAAAGAGAAAGATAAAAATCTTGAAACCAGACATACTACACAGGAGAACAATGTTCTGAATTAATGCTGACCTTGCATTCAAAACATGGAGGCCAGGAGATAGTACTGAGAGAAACTGCCCATCTAGAACTCTATATCCATTGAAAATATTCTTCAAGAATGAAGGTAAAATAAAGAGGCTGTGTTGTTGGTAAATTTGTACCACAAGAATTACTAAAGGAAATTCAGGCTACAAGTTCTAGCTAATGGAAAAATAATATCAGATGGAAACCAGAACCTATAGAATAAAGAAAAATATTGTATATGATCTAAGTCCAGGTAAACATAAAAGACTTTAAAATTATTTTTTTCCCTCTTAATACAATACATATTATCTTAATACAATATTAATATCTTAATACAATACAGATTAAAATGAAATTCTGAAAAAATATTTAACAGGAAATGGGAAGGAGGAAACACAAAAAAACAAAAACACTGAAATAGTAAACCTAAATTTAATTTCATCAGTGATTAAATATTAATGCCATTCTTCCAAATGCAGTGTTGGGCAGACTGTATTAAAAAAACAAGACCCACCTATATACTATCTGTAAGACCCACTTTATACATAAATTCATAGACAAGTTGAAAGCAAATGACTACCATGAGATACCACTTGATACCTACTAAACCAAACCAACCTCACTGTCATTGAGTTGGTTCAGACTCATGGTGACCTCTCCTTGGGTTTCTAAGATAGTTGTTGTTGTAGTGTGCCGTCAAGTCGGACCTGACTCATAGCGACCCCTCCTTGGGTTGCCGAGGCAGTATCACTATGGAAGTAGACTGTCCAACCTTCCTTCCGAGGAGTGGCTGGTCGGTTTGAACCGCCAGCCTTCTGGTTAGCAGTCAAGTGCCTTAGGCCCTATGCTACCAGAGCTCCTTTCTAAGACAGTATCTCTATGGAAATAGATTGCCCAGTCTGCCTCTGAGGAGTGGCTGGTGGGTTTAAACCACCAGGCTTCCGGTTAGCGGTCAAATGACTTAGGCCCTATGCCACCAGAGCTCCTTGTTAGCCACTAGGATGGCTATAATCAAAATGACAGATAAGTTGGCAAGGATATGGAAAGTAGAACCTTGACACACTGCTGGTTGGAATGTAAAATGGTGCAGCTGTTTAGAAAACAGTCTGGCAGTCACTCAAAAGGTTAAATACTGAGTTACCATATGACCCAGTATTCCATTCTTAGATATATATATATATATAAGAACAGTACACAATGACTTGTACATGAATATTTAAAGCTACATTCTTCATAATAAACAAAAAGGGGAAGCACTCAAATGTTCATAACTCATGAACAAATAAAATGTGGTAAAGCCATACATGGACTATCTGGCATTATAAAAAGAAATGAAGCACTGATATTTGCTACATCAGAGATGAACATCACTTAGATATTACTCTAAGAAGTCATTCACAAAAGACCACATATTGTGTAAGTCCATTTATATGAAATATCTAGAACAGGCACATCCATAGAGAGAAAAAGTAGACTAGTGGTGGCCTAGGGCTGGAAGTTTGCAGGGACATTGATAGTGACTGCTAGTGAGTATGGAGTTTTGTTTTACAGTGATAGAAATTTTTCAAAAACTAACTGTGGTAATAGTTGTACTTTGTGAATACAGGTACTCAGTCCCCAACTGATGATGGGGTTCCGTTCAGATGACTAACTCCACTGTTAAACTGGTTCTGACATAAGCTGAATACCTCATTTTTTAGTTTTCATTTTTCAATCAGAATCTTTATAAATCTGATCTTTATTTATCTTGAGGATTGGAAACATTGTATCTGAGAATGATAACATCAGTAAATGATGTGTTGCAACACTGGATATATTGCACGTTACTAACAATAAGCTGTACCAACAACAACAACAAAAAAGCAAATATGGATAGTCATGTGATCCATCTTAACTTGAGTATGTCGATAAGTCAAACACTACCTATGTACTAAAACCCACTGAGTTGTGGTACTATAAATGGGTAAACTGTACAGCGAGTGAAAAATAACTAAACTGTTATAAAACTACACAAAAAACAAACAAACAAACAAACCAGTATCAGCAACTGATAGAACCAACCAAACAAAAAAAATCAGTAAAGATATGGATCATCTGAATATACTAACAAACATCCTAACTTAGTAACTACAGAATAGACTTTTCAAGTGCATAAAGAATATTCACCAAGACAGCCCATTTGCTGGGACATAAAATATATCCAAAGATTTAAAAAGACATGATTCACAATATGTTCTCTGAGCAAAATGGAAGCAGAAAGAACATATATAAGAAAACCACAAATAACTGAAAATTAAAATACACTATTAAATAATTCTTGGATCAAGGAAGAAATCACAAGGAAAATCAGAAAATATTTCTAACTAAGGAACACTGAAAACAAACAGCAAAATTTGTGATATCAGAGGGATATTTATTGCTTTAAATTATATTAGAAGATAAGTCTAAAATTAATGACCTAAGAGCTTATATTAAGAAGCTAGAAGATGAAGAACAAAGTGAATTTAAAGTAAAGAAACAGTAAATAGCAAAAATCAACTATACAGAAAATATCCCAGAACATTCCCTATGGGACGGGGGGAGATTAACTGTGGGAAGGGGCATCAGGGATCATTCTGAGTTGATAATTATATTCTATATTTTCATAGAAGTTTAGACAAACAGGTGTAGTACTGTCAACTCATGGAATACACACATCTGTATTTTATTATTCTCTAAGAACAATTAAATGTGAGAACGATCTGACAAATTAACATTAATTTTGTGTTTAGGACAAAAAAAAACTGTAAAAAGAAAAATGCTGAACTCTAGATAGTGATTAACTGTAGATAATATGCATGCTTAAGTATTTAGGGAGAAGTACACTGGTATGTGCCAATTTACTTTGAAATGTGTCATAAAGTAATTTGATGGAGATACATATATATGATGACATAAACACAGCAAAATGTGAATAGTAGAATTTAGGTGGTGAGTACACTGGTACTAAGAAAATCTTTTAACTTTGCTTTAAGTATGAAATTGTCATTAAAAAAAGTTAGAGGAAAATAAAATTAAAGGCTAAAGAGACTTCCCCAAACCAGTGGAATAATTATGGAAAGTATTGCAGAACACGGCAAAGGAATGACCGAGATATAGGTGTGAAGAAAGACAACAGCTGAATTGGTAAGTGAGACAAATAAACTGTTTTTTATAAAAAAATTCTTAAGAACTGTAAACCTTTATACGTTAATGTAGCAGTAAGCAAGAAGTCTTCCAAAAGAATGTAAACATTATCTTTCCTTCTATTTCTAGAATTTATTCTAAAGAAACAATCGTATATATGAACAAAGATTTAGCTTCAAATGTTTATGGTAGCATAAAACTACAAAACCCCTCTAAGTGCAGCACAGTATTAAGTTAGTGGTCATTAAAACTGTTGTACAGATTTATGGACATGAAAGGAGAAAAGCATTACCTTTTCCTACCACCACCACCACCACCACTACATTAGTACCGTATTTCTATAAAAGAATAAAATAAATCCATGTGTTAAATACAAATTGCTTCTAGCTGGTCAGCTTGTATATAATTTTTATTTTATAACTCTTAAGTAATTTTTGTCTATAAACATGTCAATTTCAGAAAAGTAGGAAAAACAGTTACGTCAGTGAGAAGCTGTGCAATCTGATCATCTATTTTGTGAAGTTTCATCTCATTCTGAAAATCTTCAGGATTAATTTTCTCTGGCTCAGAAGATGGACACACAGAATCAATGGACGTCAAAGCAGTATCTGTTGGTGTGCATGCAAACTGATCCAAAGGTACTACATGATCGATGTGTGGCGCTACCACTGGCATACTATCAATGGTCTGTGACACAAAACAAAGCAAAATCCTTTTAATTTACAATTAGTAATTAAAATTTGAAGGCAACTTTTATATGAGGGAAAAAAAACCCAAAAACCATACCTCTTCTTCACTTATATTTTGGGGACAATCAGAAGAAACTAAACTATCCAAAAGACCTTCTAAGCACTGTAGGTGGGATAAATTTATTTCTGACAAATTTACTGGTTCACCAAATATGTTCTTGCAGTCCAGGATTCTAAGCTGTGGCAAAGTCTGGAGAATAATTGCTCTGTACCCTTGGAAATAGATCAATCAAAACGAAAACACAAACATTAAAAAATAAATTATTTCTAGAACAAATTAAATTTATCAGCTACTATATCATCTGAAAGATTAATAAATTAGTCTCAATGCAATAAATATACTTGTAATAAAAGCTAGCATGTAATCATTAAATACAAAATGAACATACATTCTTCTATTCCTCCCAAAAAGCCCACCTAATTGTCTCCTTTCGTTTAACTTTTCATAAAATGGCTTTAAAGCCATAAATACATTAAACGAGTAGCAATATACTCTGAAAAGAAAGCAAAACCATCTTCTGTTAATTTTTAATGTGCATAATATAGTATAAACATAAATCAGTATGATATGCTAACAGAGAGGCAGACTTTCCCCAGTAAGGCCTTAAGTATTAGTAAAATAATTATCTTCCCACCTCCTTAAATCCCATACAACTGACATTAAGATAGAAAATCTACTGAATACTAAAGAATAATATGTTTATTTTCTCTAAGAACAATTAAATGTGAGAGCTATCTGACAAATTAACATTAATTTTGTGTTTAGGATAATAGAAATACTTTAATTTTAAAAATTTAAACTATAAGTTTAGATATGGCAGTCTGGTTTGATTTAACTTTGCCTACTTCAATAGTTCTGAATTTCTGAATTAGATCAATGGCATTTCAGCAGCATTATGTAGTATCACATTAAGTTTGAACTTTCTTTTTTTTTTTTTAAATAATTTACTTATTAATAATGTAATGTATTTGTATGGTGTAAAACTCAAAAGGTACACAGTAAAGTTTCCTCAACATTTCCTGATTTCCCAGCTACTTAGTTCCCTTTCTTGGAATTAGCTAATACTACCAGTTTCTTGAGTATTCTTCAAAAAATAGTGAATGTATATACTCAGTAAATATGTATGTTATTCTTTTCACACAAATGGTAGTCCATTATAAAGCTTTGCAACTTGCTTGTTTTTGGGAGCACTGGTGGCACAAACCCACCAGCCATTCCTCAGAAGGAAGACTTGGCAATCTACTTCCATAGGGATACTGCCTCAGAAACCCAAGCAGGAATCATTATGAGTCAGAATCGACTCCACAGCAGTGAGTTTGATTTGGTTTTTAACATATTAGAAATAACTGCTTATCAGTAAAGAAAGAGAATCTTGATGGCAGTGAGTTTGGTTTTTTTGGTTATACTTTAGAGTTTGCCATCTTAACCTTTTTTTTTTTAAGAGTGATTTGGGTGAAAGTTTACTGAGCAAATTCTTTTGTCATTCAACAATTCATACACATTTTGTTTCATGACAATGACTGCAATCCCCATAATGTAATAGCTCTCTTCCCACATTCTCCCTGTGGTTACCTATTCCCTCTGTCCTCCTTTCCTACGCATTCCTGCTCTCTTAGCTATCTCCCTGTGCAAATGCTGCCCTTTTGATCTTCCATGGTTGACTGTTCTAAGGACTGTACTTACATGGTATAATTGTTCACCTTGTAGGCCTGTCTACTGTTTGGCTGACAGCTGCAGGACAAAGTCCAAAGGGTGACTCTGAACCACAGTCACCAGTTTTTAGCAGACTAGTAAGCCTGGTCTTTTGTTATTATATTTCATACTGTTCTCCCATTCTATCCAGAATCTCCTATTTTGATCCCTTTTTGAGCAGCTAACAATGGTAGCCAGGTACCATCTAGTTATCTTCTCAGGGTCATGTAGGCTGAGGTTCGCATGGTCCACTATTTCCTTGGACTAACTATTTCCATGCATCTTTGATTTTCTTCACTCTTTTCTGTTCCAGATTAGGAGAGACCAAATGTTCCATCTTAGATGGATGCCTGCAAGCTTTTAAGACCATAGTCGGTACTCACCAAAGTAGGACACAGAATAATGTTTTTGTGTAATATGCTATTATGCCAATTGAGCTTGATGTCCCCCAAGATCATGGTCCTGAGCCCGTGGGCCCAATGACTCACTCCCTCAAGGTATTTGGCTACGGCTCTGTGGTGTAGTGCCTAAAGCATCTAACTGCTAACCAGAAGGCTGGTAGTTCAA